GAAATGGTAGGACTAGCAGATGGTAAAATGGTTACATCACTAGACTCCCACATAGTTGACCACGGTTCGAGTCCCAGATCCAGTGGCTTAAAACTCACATAGGTCACATGTGTGTGTGTGTGCCCAAAATCCCAAGAGGAGAATGGAGGAAAAAGGGATTTTGGTGTGGCCATTCCCCCGGGGGGCGATTTCTCGCTCTCTGTCACTCTGACTCTCTGGTGAGTGCATGGGCCCTATAGCAAAAATCTCTCAAAAATAAAATAAAATAAATTAAAATGGCATTATATTAAATAATTTTCTATAATGTCTCTTTACATGGATGTATAGAGTTCCCTAGGATAATGAGGTATCATTGACCTTTGAATAAAACAAACATTATGCAAGATTCACAATGACTTAAGGAGCATTTAAACAAGTCACTGAACTCTGATGCTTTTTGTTAGAATGAAAATAAACTAATTTTAAAATATTTTGTAAAGTAGAATTAGAAGGATGTTTCCTTGATGTGATAAGGAATGACTGTCCCAATACCAGTGTTACAATTAACAGTGAGTCCTGTAAGTAAAAACAAATCAAAGATACCTGCCATTACACAGATTGTCTATCATTGTTCTGATAATTCTGGTTGATACAATAAAGAAAAAAAAAAGATATGTAACTTAGAAAAGAGAAACCTGATCAGAAATTATGAGTATTTACTTATGAGAAAAGCAAAGAACTCTATTTTAAAACTACTGAAACTAATAAGAGAACATATATTAGTGGCCTGAGTATTAGTTCACCAGCAAATATTTATAGAATGTCTACTATGTATTGAGAAATGTTTTAGACACTATAGACAAGATGTTCCTGTCCTCAAGAACAGTATATTCTAATGGGTAGAGGTAAAAAAATAAGAAAAAAAAAGGCACAAATTCAGAGTATGATAACTGCTATGAAACAAGTCAAGACGGAAATGCTTAGAAGAGGTGGAGAGATGGCTCCAGGGAGTGGTGAGGCAGGACCCTGATGAGATGCCACTAGATATAACACCTAAAGGATAAGAAACCAGACATGTGAAGAACTAGGAAAATAAGTATACAGATGTCCTCAAAGTGGCTTAAGTTTGAATAAAATGTGGGTAAAAGGTAAACTCATGTGCCACTTATAAAATCTTTTAAACCTATGTCATCATTACACAATAAATAATCCCTGAGATTCTCTGCCCCAGATGATGTGGCTTCATGATTAAGGAAGGGCATTTTATATTTGTTCAACCTGTTACATGCCAGGCCCTGTGCCAGGTGCTAGAAACACAGAAGTACAAAGACAAACGTGTCTCTGTCCTCATGAAAGTTGCATACCTGAGAGAAGAGTTAGAGGATAGATCATACATACATACATACAATAATTATTAAATAGGGAAAAAGTGCTATGTATCATGATAGGATGATATGATAAGGAGTAACTCTGGGGAGAGGGGAATTACCTAACACTACACCTCATAGTTAGGAATTTCGGCCATCCTGAGTGACATGTAAGTAGGTGGAGAACTGAAAGGTCTTAACGATCCAGCCTTGCTGAGAGCCAAGAAAAGGGCTTTCCAAGCAGAGATAAGCACCAAGACACTGAGGCAGGAGAGAGATTGGAGAGCTCTGGACTGATGTTTCTGGACCATGGTAAATATCAGTAAGTGAGGCATAAAAAGAGATTGGAGAAGAAGGCAAGGACTTGATGACATAAGGCAATTGGTCCCAGGTGAAGGTCTTATCTCAAAGGGATGGGCTTGGAGTCAGGAATCCCTGGATCAATATCTGGCTACATAATTTATCAGATGTGTGACCCTGGAGATTACTTTACATCTCTGCCTGTGAAATAAGTGCCATAATAGTACCTACCTCATAACTTTGTGGAATTAAATGTGATAATGTATGTGAAGTGTTTAGCATATAGTAAGCCCTCTTGACTGAGAAAGACAGATAAAGAAAACAGAGGAAGAGACATCTTCCCAGCCTGATGGGCAGTTGGATTCTGTCAGGCAACCTCCTGCATCTGGCTGGCTTCTGGGATCATAAAGGACTTCCAAATGTTACCATTTCTCTCCCAGACCCCTAACGGGAGAAACTCTTGCCTTGGACAGAACCCACATCAAATTACTTGTGACATACGGATTAAATAATTTTCAGTTGAAAAGGTGGCGTGATGGTTAAAGGTGTTAGACTCCCACATGGCCAACGGCAGTTCAAGTCCTAAATCTGGTGTCTTGTTTTCTCACTTTCCTTCTCTCTCTCCCTCTCTCTCTGTGTCTGATCAAATGGGAA